GACTTAGTTGCTCAAGTTCAACAATTGTCTATATGACTTAGTTGCTCAAGTTCATATATGACTTAGTTGCTCAACTGCCGCAATTGGCTATATGACTTATAAACTTATAGTTGCTCAACTTCAATACTGTTTTACGCCCACTCCGACTCCCAGTCCATGTTTTGTGAGTACATCAGATGAGCTCCATGTGAGCTGGACCTCCTCAATTGTTTTTCATGCCACAGGATGCCTTGCCCTCCGCCTGGTATCTGGTGACTCTGTGCATCCTTGCAATCCCCCCTACCGCTTCGGTGTCCTTCCAGACTCGTCTGATGGCAAGTTCTTCGTCTTCCAGACTTCCGGTGTCCGTCCGGTGTCCTTCCAGTCGTTTGCTGTCCAAACTTTGACTTCGTCGAATCGTTTGTTCGTCCCGTTCCGTCGACTGCAGGACTCGGTGTCCTTTGGACCGAAGACCTTTCGGGGCATCCTCGAGACGAACGGCATGGACTGTGAAGGCCCGGTCTCCTCGGATCCTCAGGCCGCACCGCGCGACGGGTCCCGTGGGTGGGGTGCTGGGCGAAGTAAATGCGGCTCCGGCTCGTCCATGAATGAACATGGGACATGACCCGAACAAAAAGATAGGTCTTAAGCAACCCATTGTCTGAGGTACCTTTGAGACTGCGTACTTTGAGAGACTCCAGGTGGAAACAAAGGTATGGAGTGTGTTGAATCCGCCACGGTCGCAAGATCTCCTCAAGAAATAAACAATAAATATTTATAAATTTGTAGAATAAACAAGCTAGGTGAAACCAACATAAAATACATCTGATGGCGGTGGGGGATTTGGTTAAATTGCATGGTAACACGTGACATCACATGACTCTCTCTTCCCAGATTCACGATGTCCACTGGCGCGAGGAGCAGGTGCTTCTTCTTTCGCCCACCACCATGAACCTCCTTCAACACCTCCCAGGCTTGGGACCTCGGCTTCCCGGGTACGAGGCTCTCATACCCAATGGATCAACTGCAAGAACCTGCAGGATTGGTGTGCCTCACTCGAGAACAGGGGGAAAAGGCATGAAAAAGGCTTAATTCTTTTTGTGCAGGGCCACGACGACGTTCATAGTCAGTTTCTGTGAGCACCACTCGATCGTGGAGATCCACGGCTCGCTCACATTTTCAGCGAGCTCAGAGCCCAGGAGAGTGATCCTAAAGCGCTCTTTCTGCGACTCAGTCGCCTCAACCATTCGTGCCGCTGGGCCTAAAAGAAGCGGATAACGGCTTTTCTTTTTTGGATCGAGACAACACACAATTTCATAGTCGTAAAAGACCTGATTCGGAACGTTCTGCGTTCGTCTTGTTTTTCTGCTGACAGTTCCAGTCGCTGCTTACTGTCCCTCGATCCATCCTTCTCGCGGATCCGATTCGGCTCCGATCGGAGCCGAGCCGCTTCGGCGCCGGTGTCGGTGGTGGAAACCGAGGCAATGCGAATTGCGACTACAGCTGGCGTCAAGACATCATGGAAATCTATGCGCAGAGGAAGATCATCGCTGGAGAAGAGCTTTGCATTCCATACATCGACTCTGATCTGATCATAGCTGCTGAAATCCACACACTTCGCATGCGAAATCCACCCAGCTTTGCAGCTGTCTCCAGCACCACCCAGTTTGGGTGGTTATGTTGAAGAACGCTACCGGGGGGTCTATAAACCACCCGAGCTGGGTGATGCTGGCTCAGGTCTTTATGGTTCTTTTAATTTGCTGCACTGTAGAGTTGAAATTTGTGCAAACGTGTTTAAGAGGCCTTGCAAAGCCAAAGGATCATCTACTGCTACTGTGAACTTAAGGGGCCTAGTGGAAAACAACCTCAGAATTGAGCAAGGGACAAAAGAGGATTGCTTCTTAACTCCATCAACTCTCAATTATTGCAACTTCAGGTTCTGTTGGCAGGATGTGCTAGCTGCTAGCTGTGATAGCAAGCTCAGCCAGTTGCAAATTAACCATGAGAGGACTTCACCACCACCACCACCACCACCACCGCCGCTTCGGCCTGTCTTTGCTCCGGCCGCCATGGCGAGTCCCGCGGCGCTCAGGACTTGAGGGAGCCGAGACAAGTGCGGCGACAGATGCTCAAGGAGAACTGGTGCTTCCGCTGCGAGTGCGAGGCTCCCGTCGTTCGGGCCGTTGAGAGAGGGACGGTGACGGTGAACGTGAGTGTTTGAGCTGCAGCAGGCGGATGAAACAAAAAGGCCTGACAGTGAGAAGATCGCATTTAGGAGTGGGTGGTTTCAGATATGCTTCTGAACCTTTACTTGGGATGATTGAGCCATATTGAACCCACTGACTGACAATATGTTTGAAGTGAGTTGAAACCACCAGTCAGCCATGCATGAGAGGGTTTGGTGGGTCAAAGCACCTCCTGAAAATTGTGAGGGGCCAGTTTAAGATGTGAAATGATCAAGAATCAAGAACAGATAGGACAGGATGGATCATCATGAATCATAAGCAAGATAGTCTGTATTTTTGTTTCACTGTGGTGAGCAGATAGGCATGTCCTTCATCCACTTCATCCACTTCATATCATAGTTCCAATGTGCTAAAAACTAAAAACATGTCGGATCCTGCACTCTTGGTGGAACACCCTTTGTTTGTAAAGAAAAATCATTGTCTTTCAAGAGGCCATGCCATCCACTTCGAAGTTGGTTCCGGGGAAAAAGTAAACCGTTTCAACATGTGGTGCAATCTGTCATTCCGTTGCCAGGTCTGCAGCGCCTGGACCGTCGCCAGTGACGCGCGCCGCGTGCGCCTGGGGGAGCTGAGCGCCATGATGTACCGCGCCCGCGCGCCCGAGCGCTTGGTGCGGATCGCGCGGAAGCTCTTGCGGCTCTACAAGGATCGGATTTTTCTGGAAAACAACTTGGTGAATAAGTTTTTACGAATGTGTTTTAATGCTTGCAATATGGAAAAAATGACCAACACAAATAGATCGGGATCTCACATTTACAAGGAACGTGTTTTATTGGGGGATTTGGTCGCCAATGGGAGGCCATGAGGAGTCAAGTTTGCAGCAGAAACAGCCGTGTTCATCGCCTGTCAAGTGGCAGTTGCGGCAGAGCGTGGAGCGTCTTGCGTTCAGCGTGTTGAGAACTCTTAAATATGGTTTCTTCGCAAGGCATTGGCTGTTTCGACTGTTTCTAACATTAGCTTCTAAGATCTTACAAGCCTATAAGTTGAGGATGAATGTTGATTTTAGGCACGGATCTTTATTTGGGAGACCGGCATGACCAGCCCCACCGGAATCCGCAGTTTGGATGATCTCCTACGCTTTGATGTTTGTCATGCCCATTGCTTTCTATAGGGTCTAGTTACGTGCATGACACAGACAAGTGACAAATGTGTGTGTGTTGTTATTTTTTAATGGGGTGGCCAAGTTGTGTCAGTTTGCAGGTATCCACATCCAAAACGTATCGAACAAAGTGGTCAAGAAATAATATAACTACTATGGCTTCACTTGCAGGGTGGGGCACTGTCCCATTGATTCTGTGATATGTATGCATATTTGTTTTCCTCCACTGTGTGCACATGACCGGAGCCCGCATTTGTTTGTCCCGTTGATCATAAAACGGTTTGCACATGACCCTCTTCCGATGGGCCGCATTGGCAATGCGTTGTTCGCAGGAAGAATGCATCAACGCGTTGCTTGACTTTGTTTTAGAAGCCGGGACCAAGAGGTGGAAAAGGACAGCTGGCTCTTGCAAGCAATGTTTTTTTGTTGGTACTCCCCCAAGTCTTTGGTAAATGATGACTGCGCTGAACAGGGCGTAAATCACAATTGCGTAGATAGAGTATGAAAGTAGTTGAACATTGAAACTATATTGACCGTGTTCAGTTGTTACAGTTGTTTTTTTCTACTTTCCACTCAGGATGTCAAGGTCTTGCCGGGTCACCAAGACGGAAAGTAGTTTAAACGTTGTTCAAAGCAAATCTATGATTTCGGCAGCCAAACAAACGTGCTGATGAAGTCCAAAACCTGATCTTGATTGGGCTGCATGAGAACCCCCAACATGCACAAGTCACAAGATCATGTTTTCCTCTATGACTTGCTTTCCTGCAAGTCTCAGCAGTCAGTGCCTGACTGAAGAGAGCAAAGTTTCTCAGGCAGAGCTACCGGAAGGAGGCCTGCAAGTTCGGCTACGAGGTGCTTATCCGTCGACTTCTTCCCTTCCCGTCCTTTTTCCAGTTCTTCATGGCTGTGAGTCAAAAGCTGGAGAGCAAGCAGTTCACCCGGGTGCGTTGACCTGCGTTGACCTGCTGCTCAGCAGTCCATTCACCTGGACAGGTCCACCACGTTCGAATCGGTTTTGGACCCACCTTAGGTGTCGAGGCTGCACGACTTCACCCGACCCTTTTTCCCATGCAATGGCTGGGACAGGTGGCAGATGGAACAGGTGATTCCGTGGCTCACAACGATCCAAGAGGTGATCCAAAGGACCCATTCATCTCATGGCTCATGGTGTTATCTCATCATCCATATAAAGCGAGGAAGTCTTTTTTTTTGCCCCCCCTCCTATACAATTGATGATATTTGATGATCTATACCTGATCTTATATCATGCAAGGTTCCTATTTAGGGGTGTATGTATATATATATATAGTTTTTTTTGCATCATCCAGTCGCATTCCTGTAAATCATGATCGGATGTCCATGCATTGGCTTCACCAAAGTCCAGTTCAGTTCGGCACCGAAGTGAAGGAATTTTCTGCGAATTCCTTTTCCGGGTCACCAAGGTCCTTGTGCCAAATCGGAACTCCCAGGGGTGAGGCCAATTTCCAGTGGTAAACCGAACCCAGGTGGTGGCACACCCACATGGACTCCGTCGCCACTCCGTCGCCACTCCGTCGCCACTCCGTCAGGCCTCACTCAGGCTCGAGGACGTGGACTTGGCACCACGCTTCGCACGCCTGGGCCTGCAGAGCAGTCTGATTTGCCACTCGGGTCCTGGAAACAGCCAGGGGGGACAGACATGTTGAAATTACGGTGGGGATATGCTTGGATAGGAAGTGCGCTGTTGGAGGTCAATTGTTGCTTTTTGGAATCTCAACGCAATGGACTCTCTATGATATTCGATGATATTCTCATGGTCGCAGGAGCTTAAAACTCCTTCCCATGACTATTCAACTGGTGTTGTGTCAACACTTGCCGTGCGTCAGAGGGATTTTGGAGTTGCTTTCGCTTCTCATGGTCGCACTGGTTGAAAAAGAACAAATAATCTTCACAGTTTTCGAAGAGCCATCAATCTCCGGTGTTCCAAGTCGTTGGTTGGCACGTTGCATCTGAATCGCCCAGGCATGCCCAGGCTTATGACATGCAGTGCATCCCAAAAGTCGTTGGACAAATATATGATTTGATGCCATGCCCGGTGTTCCAAGTCTCGGAGGTGCTATAAATATATTATATTGTAATATAATATATATATATAATATTACATACAGTAATATACACTATATATATTATATAATTATATAGACATACCTGGACCCTCCAGTTCATACCCGCCTATGAAATGGATGTCCCGAACAAGAAAACAGGTCCGACGGATGGGACCCTCAGAGCCACACTGTTGTGCCTATTCAAATGCCATTATACCTGGTACCAGGTCATGGCCCTGCTCATGAAGAAACCCAGGATGCGAAAAGGGACGGTCGGACGGGTTTTTCAAGATCTTCGCTTCCTAGCTTTGCAGGGGCGGGTGTAATCGAACATCCACCGCGTCCAACGGTTTTTCGATATGTCGAGATGGTCTTGATTGGTTTGTGCAACGGATCTTCGGGGTTTCCAGATTTCAAGGCACACCTCTTTGGCTTTTGGACGGCCCGTCTGTGGGCTTCATTCAGACCGCTATGGGTCAGAGAGATAGGCATCTATCAAAGAGTTATCTAACAGAAGAAAGAACCGTGTCTTCTGTCTTTGTCCCGAATATGAAACATTTGAAGAATTTCGAAGATGTTTTTCTACAATTTCAAATCAGTGGTTTTGCAATGTTGCTTCGAGTTGGCCAAAGCAGTTCTTGTGTCGCTTCCTGAAACCTGGAAAAATGAAAAAGGGTCAGTCTGAATATCTAGTCAGCTAGTCCTCACTAGCCTCCTGGCCTCCAACCTAAGAGATGTTCTTTCGCTTCGCATGGGTCAACCTGTTTACGATGCTCCTGGCGACGTTTCCATCGGACCCTGGCGGCCCGGGCAGGCATTCCTTTCGTATAAATATGTGCCCCGCCAAACCAAATAATATATATATATATGGACACCCACCATGATCTACCTAGAGCTGTTTTGTATATTCTCATATTGAAAACAATTTGGGATTTCGGTGCTATGGCCCATGGGGATTGAAACCTTTGACAAGACCAAATAGCTGCTGTACTAGACTTACTACTTATGACTTCCCAACGTGTTTTTCATGTATAGATTACTACTATGTATAAACAGTTTCTCCTGTGAATAAGTTCCCGCCAAATAGTAAAACAAAAGGTAACCCCCTCAACCGTTCAGGACCCAAAATACAACATTGTTTGCAAGGGTTCGCAACCGATCGAAATACATAGTCCAGACACTTTGCACCGTTCAGAACCGTTCAGGAGATGCTGTTCTGGAACTGTTTGCGCAGTTGTTATGAAGCAGCATCCATAAGACATAATACTGAAGTATTTGTTAGTTGAAATTCTATATAGTATAATCTTAGTTGTAAGCTTGGTGTTGTAAGTTCCAGTTGAAACTTAAGAGCTGAAGCTGCTGCGAAATACATGAGTTGCGTGCAGCTGCTTGCGTGCTTGGAATGTGTTCGGAAAAAAAAAGGTGTTATCAGGCTCACACACAATGTCATTGTACACAGACGTTTTTCCAGACTTGTGGCAACGTTCTTTTCCACCTGTGTTTATTCCCATTTGTTCCATGACCCAGCATGCAGGATAAGACTTCCTTTATACAGAACTAGTCATGTCTCTTCCACATGACAATTAATTATCCAAAATGTTGTCCAACATATGCCCTACAATGGGTGGTATGAATAGCCATAGACAATATGCCAATGTCAATGACATACAGCGTTAACATTGATATCGATATCAGCCAACCTCAAAGAAGGGCTGCAAAATCAAACTCAGAACGACCTTTCTGCCACTGATGGTTCGCAGCATCAAAATTTACATCAACCCCTTTCCAGCAAGGTTTACAACATGAAGATTTATGTCAACATTTCCCAACCAAACACACAACATGAACAACATCAAATAATTCTGTAGAACAATGATTGGGACATGTTGTTTGATATATAATGTCGTCAGGTTTAGAAAAGTGGCTGGCTAAATTATGCTTGCATAGGCGCAGAGTTCAGACAGCAATGGTTCAACATCCTTGGAGAGCAGCTCAAAACGGCGCAGCGTAGTGACACCTCTCACAACTTGGTGCCAGCACTTGTTTGGTCAATGTTTCCTTCGTTAACCTGCTGTGTGTGCCAAAAGCAAAGACTATGTAGCGAGCCCCCATGTGAACACGAAATTCAGCCACTTTTGGAAGAAGACACTTTGACCAGATCCCATATATGCATATATTAACATAATATACTGTACATACACATACACATAATGAAATCACACCTACTGTAGTGACAATGCACTGTCCTAAAACAACACCTGTGATTGCAGAGCCGAGCATGCCCATGTTCCGTCAGGGCCATGAGCACAGAAAAGCATCCACGTTCGTCTGTTACTCAAATATCTAGTTTGCTCCAACCTAAACCCCCATGATTACCCGGACTGCGGATTATCGGTTTACGGATTACCGTGTATATGGTCAGTGGGGAATTTGGAACAGTATAGATCTTGTTGGAACACCTTTATTCCACCCTCCATGGCACTAACAGTCCCGACTTCCCGATTAGGCCAGGGGTGGTTGACCTTGGGGTCCATGCAAATGTGCCAGTCCGATGGAGTGCCTATAAGAATTTGATACAACACCTTGACGGCGATGAACATCCAATCCATATTTGCTTGTGGCTGCTCTTTTGTGGGCTGCACATGTCCGGTGATGCCAGGAGTGGTTGGAAATTTCCTCCCTTTGGAGCTGACGTTCGGATTCCCAGATGAAAGGGGCTGGGCCGGTGTGCTCTTGTTCAAATTCTTGTTTGTTTACTATTTTTCCTCGAAAGTGGAACTGGCAGTGGCAGGTGTGGGAAAATGTCCAGGCAAGGAGTTCTTGAAACTTCATGGTACTACTGATCACTGTTGCATTGTGTCCTACACAGAGCTGCCTTTTGCTTTGTTCAACCTGCTTCCCTTCCACTGCAATGGGTCTTCGAAGGCTGACACTGGTGAACAGACAAATCAATGTGAGGCATAGTCGTGGACAAAATACTTGTACTTTGGTTGGTTGGTGTTTCTTGGCAGAGCAGCCTTCCTTCGTTGCTGGGCGAAACTTCGATCGAAGAGTGACTATAGATTGGTTTTGATTAGGGAAATGTTTTTAAATTTTCCCTATGGGTGAATCCCTGGTAATATTTCAATGTTTATTTGTTCTCAGTTCCTCAAACAAATCCAAACTATCGCTGACCAATCCTCGTGTTTCATTTGGTACAGTACCAGATCATGGATCCAGATGATGAATTTGAATCCGCAGACACTCTTGGCTCAGCTCCTGCCGACGTGGAACCCCTTCACAATATGGCTGGAATCAAAGAAGCGGTCTTTCTCGCTACTGTGCTTTGGCTGTGTTGAGCAGCTGGGGCATCCCTTCTGTGTCACGTTCAATCGTCGGTGGTTTATCATCCGTTTTTGATCCACATTGGTTTAGTATATAGTGCTTAGCAAAATGTTGGATGTTCCAATAGAATCCACTTACGCAACTGTTCATGTTGTGAGATCTTCACCAGGACCGAACGACTTTGATCCATCGCCACCAGGTATCTCTTTCCATAGCCTTTCAGCATGCCGACACCCCGCAGCTACGTCGGATGAGAGCCTCGCCCATGTTCTGGCGCCTTGATTTTTCACTTCGAGTTGAGGGCTGATTCGGGCGGCCGACATTTCGTACATGGAAGGATTTGCCCGAAGGGCAGAGGGTGTGTGGCCGATAGTATACACCTTATAGATGTTGTCTCTATCTGGTTTTCTGGTCTTACACCTGGCAATACGCCACATGGACGTGGAAATCAGGTGGCCGACGCTGTTTGCGTGTAGTGGACCAACTTCTGGACATTTCTGGACTATCTTAGGTCTAGTAGCTCCTGACATTACTACTCCGCTCGTAGCAAATAGCTACTGGTAGCATCTAGTAGCTTCTTGTTCCTAGTAGCGATGCCCTTGTTACTTCATCGTACGCTTTTCTTCCAAGTCGTATGCTTCGATTTTAAACCCAAATCACTCCGGAGGTGGGCGTTTTTCAAAACGCCGAGGTTGCATATCCCCAAGTGCGGGACCAGCTTCGGGAATGCCATCACACACCTGCCCGGCTTTTGCCCTGGCCTGCGGAAGAACGACAGCTTGAGCGATACCACGATCTTTGGGAGTTGCTTTGGGGACGGCTTTCAGACGCTCGTACGGTTGGTAAGTGGTCCGCGTTTGTGTGAGGGTATTTTACTTGAACGTACAGTGGGTAAGAATCTTCAGGTGACTCGAAAGGGGAGAAACCACGGAAAAAAGGCCTGTTGAAACCTGGCACGAGACATGGCCAACGATTGCGATCGCTGGAGACGAAATGGTGCGGAAGACTTGAAATCTTTTTTCAATCTGAAAAAGGAGGTCTTTCAGAAAACAAATCGTTTGAAACCTGGCCATTTCTTCCTGAACCTGTTTACAGTTTCCTTGGTTGATGTTCTGTTTGTGTGTTTTGCGTGTCAAATGTTCCTTCCAGGGAACCAAAACGAGTGTTCGATGTCCGTTTTCTGTGTGACCAGACGGTGCGACCTCTTGACTTGATAGACCTACCTCCGTCCGTGGAACGGGACGGACCAGGCGATCGGGCCCGGTGCCCCCCATAGAGACAAGGCATCGAGTTTGGTTGGGCACTTGGCCAGTTTAAAACCACACCAAGGAAAGCGTGTGCAGAGATTTGCGACCAGAAGCACATGCATTGCAACTTTCCTCCTATCATTAATCCATCGCACCAATTCTTGACGGATGAGAAGCTTGGCGAACGGGCGGACCAATCAATGACCCAGTTGTGTCTTAAAGGTCCACACCCTAGCTGATCTTCACAAGGGTGGGGGCCCCGCCTTTCAATCCCGGTCGCACCCGGGGATTGAACCCGAAGAACGCATCCCTGTCGCCACTAGACCAGACCGGCCCTCTCCTGGAATGAGGTTGCGTGTTTCTTGGTATGTTTTTTCTTTTTCTTATTCTTCTTATCAGTCTGTTCAAGTTGGCCCAAAAGAAAACAGAACGCACAATTGGCGCAATTTTTGTTTTTTTTGGTGTGTGTGTTCTACTGCTCCGTTTGATTTTCATCAAGAGTGGTTAGTTGTGCAAGTGAGGTGCAAAAGTGCGTGTGAAGCGACCAAGTGTTTTCTTATTTGTCCATCTTGTTCCTGGGATGGTGTAATATATGGAAACAGAGTTGAAAACACCACGTGAAGAGAGCTGGAGAGCAGCATCCCTCTCAGCTTCCTGGCGATTGCCACACTCCCCGGGGTCATTTGACACTGGGAAGAAGTGGGAATCGAAGCGTTGATCAAAATCAAAGCATTTTGTCAAACATGACTGACCCAGTATTGGGGTTGCCGTCTTGTAGATGCGTTCGTCAGTCGGCCATCATCATTCTTACTGTGAATATTGAGGATGACATGTTGGACTCATAGCAGTGAACCTGATTGATTGGGTTTAACGGCTGAGCACTTTATCAATCACCCAGAATAAGGATTGATTTCTTTGGAAGAGAACAAGCACATGTATTCTGCAGCTGTCGAAAGCTCCAGGCATTCAAGAATGAGCTCGTAGATGCTGGTTCAGACACCAAGTGTGGGAGCTCTGTTACATGCATGCAGCCAATCTAGTCAAAAGCTTCTAACTTGTTTATTTCAACAACTAATCAACCCAAATCCTTATCACGTGAGGAACCACTCGAACAACATGGGATGGTGATACATGACCGCCCTATCGATCCTCAGAGACACCTGTTGGAAGCCCACCAACACTCCGGGCTAAAACCTCCGGCTCCCATCCATTTCCGGGGCTCCCAGGAAATACCAGACGCACAAAGGCCGCTTTGTGGCGATGTTCCGTCAGCCCGAGCAGCGGGTCCTGTCGGCCTGGCACGACAACTTCCGCGTCTTCCGGGCCGATCCGTTTCCTGTGCCCCGTTTTCAACGGTCCGTGGGGTGGGGGTCCGGGGTGGGAAGCAACGGTCCGGGGTGTGTGCAGAGATCTGTCTTTGGAGCGTTTCGGCCTGTGAGGGCCCCTTTGACATGGCTGACTGAACTGGATTGGAAGAACTGCAGCACCTCATAGTCGACACTGACAGTAGTCGTCCTCGAGAGGTGACCACGTTGGAATTGAACTGTTAAGATTCACTGTTTGCGAATATTGATGAACATGGTGATTGGTGATCCATCGATCCAGCTGCTGTATCACCTTCGGACCACGTGCCTTAAACATGCGACTTGGGCATGTTTCTTCTGAGGTGAGTGCTTGCAGGAATGAGACCTTCACCAAGGAGCTGCCCATGGAAACCTTCACTTCCAGATGGGGAAGCTGGGAAACGGGGCAGATCGTTGGGAAGGGGCAAGGCCTCTTCGGTGAGATGACTGTCAGTGCAGATGATGTGCCAAAGGCCCTCGAGCGAAGCTTGGATGATTTTTCAGCGGTTTCCTGTTGTTGTTGTTGTTGTTGTTGTGGTTGTTGTTGTTGTTGTTGTTCTTGTTCTTGTTCTTGTTATTGTTCTTGTTTATACTATTTTTCGCCGCTGTTGCTTCAGAACAGCTCGGGCTGACTGCACGATCGCCGCGCCATTTTGGGGGGGTCCACTCAGTGTCTCGTAAGGTATGCTTCAATGTGTAGAATTCATATGTGTTTAAAGAACTACTTTGTTCCTCCTTGATTCCGCGGTCGGAGTATCCGCAGGCAAGGTGCCCCCTCGAAGCACCAAAAAATTGGGAAATAACAGGGCGACGTTTCGTGTTGGATCTCTCCAAGAACGGCTGTTCTGTCCAATTGATCCCCCCAGGCTTAGGCTCAGGAGATCTCAGGAGGTTGTTCCAGCGCAGCGTGATCCTCTCAACGCTTCGGACGATTTGTTGCTTCATGCTGACAATGTCTCTTCACATGTCTCTTCACAGGCTCTCCAAAACAAACATATCGATCTAAAATAGCGTCGCATAGAATCTAGGAGTTCGACTGAAAAGCTCTCAAAATGGAACAAAAACAATGTTTTTACACCAGGAATTGGATTCTTCTATCCTTCAGGGAGACCTAGAGTCCCTAGAGGGCTCCAGAGCGCACCAAACACCTACAATGTAAACCTCATGCACATCCTCTTCCCTGATACTGTTCCATGCACTTCCATGTTCCACGCATGTCACACATGCCTTCACATGTCTTCACGTGTCTTCCGCGTTTCAGCGTTTCACCGCCGTGCTCTCCCAAGGCCTCGAAGAAGGCTTTGCGTTCGTGGGCCTTCAAGAAGAATGGGAGCCTTCGGTTTGGTGGACGGGACGGTCGGAACTAGGGACGGTTGTTTCTTTTTGGGTGGATTTGGAGGGATGAAGCAAGGAAAAAGAAACTAGACGACGAGTGGCCCGAATGCATTTTTCATCACGTAGGAAGTCAGAGTGTGAGTTATCTGTTAAGTGTTCTGTGTGAAGTGTTAAGTCGAGTGAGTTGAGGTAGTGTGTGGGTCTCTGTGTGTGTGTATCTATATTTGTGTGTGTGTATGAGTCTCTGTCTGTGAGTGTGTGTGTCCGAGTAAGTTGAGGCAGTGCGTGGGTCTCTGTGTGTGTGATGTGTGTGTGTATGAGTCCCTGTCTGTGTGTGTGTCCATGTCTGCTGCTGGTGAAGGTCTTCACTGTAGATATAGTGAACGAAGTAGCGCACAGGCCTCCCAACCCCCCCACCGGCGGCCAAGCGGTGACAGCCCAGCT